CATATTGTATATTTATTAATATAACTAATTATTATTTATTCATTTATTTTTAGTGGATAGTTGATAAAATTAATGAGCTTATGGAAAGTGATGATCCAGATATGAAATCTACTCAGTCTTCTAATGTATCACTTATTAATAGTGCAGAAGATTAAACACCAATGATTATATCAGCTTATTTTTCACTGCTTTAAATATTATATTTTTTTATTCTACATTTAATTTGTGTATATATCAATTTAAATGAATCAATATTGTCAAATTATGAAAATCTGTGATGTATTGGAACTTATTTTTTTTAATTATTGATTATAAAAAAAAGAGTTTAATTATAGTTTGTGTTGCTTATAACATATATTTTGTAAATGTTATAATTTTTTGTTATTCATGTAACGTTAAACCATTATTTTATTTATAGTAGTGAATTTTTTTACCACACTTCAAAGAGTGTTTATTCATATTTTTTCATTATCTACTTAAATGTTATACTTAATATTTTAATTATTGATCTTTTAAGATAAACTTTGTTTTTAATTACTTATATATCTTATTCAACTTTATACTGTTTAATTTTTAATTTCTGTAGGTTAGATATATTTATTATTCATTATTGTTCAATAAATTAACATTTGTTGTAACAAAATTATAGGCGTAAATTACTTAAAACTAATAAAATATATAATATGTCCTAAAATAATAAAATGACAAAAGTTTAACCAAAAAAAAAAAAAATAAAAAAACAATGAGAAGATTGTTTATCACAAATAAAGGATTTTTTGTAATATTTTATTCAACGAGTATTAAGGGTGATTCCATAAATTATTATGGATTAATAAATCTTAACAATGAATTACTGGTTTTCATAACACAAAAAACATTAATATCAGCATTCAATATATAAATTACTGTAAATAATCAGTAAATATTGGTTTAAACACATCATGGAATGTAGAAAATACAAATAATAGAAATACTTATAATTATACCAATACGACCAAGTGATATTATTGGTTAAGAAGAAATTAATTTAGTTGAGAATAAAACTTATCAAGATATTAACATTAACAATTTAAAAATACAATCCTTGTAATACATCAAATATGTTTATTTATTTTTATTAACAATAATAAATTGTACTAGATATTTAAATTAATTTAATATATTTTTTTTTTTTTAGATAAAACATGCGGATCATGGATATTGGCTGTCACAAAAATGTATAGTACCTATATAGGTTATTTTAAAATTGACCTTATTTTTTGTACAGACACTTAGTTGTATGTTATTATTCACTTATTAATGAACACCAATAAGTGGTTTTCTATAGTTCTGTGAATGTAAAGGCTGCTCCTATGCCATCTGAATCAGACCTACTGATTGAAAGAATAAAATAATTGAATTACATAAGTATCTCTATGTGACATGTATAATAAATCATAATAATATTGTAGTATTTGATTTTTTGAGATTATACAACATTATTAGTTTTTGTAATTAAATAAGCAATAGTTTTTGTTTTAACTTTTGAGAAGTTAATATTAAAAAAACCAAAGTGAACAAGTAACAACATATTATATGTCAATTATATATTTATACTTGAATAAGTTAAATTTAATATTTTTAATTCTGGATTATTAAATTTTATCTTAGACAAGAAACATAATCTCATTTATACGAATAAGTATATATTTTTATAAAGATTTGTACTATAATTTAGTATAATATACATAGGCATAGTTAGGGGGACTTAGTCTCTCCCCCAAATGCAGACTAAACCCTCCATGTGTCAGTACATGTCTACCCCTAGAAAGGTAACAGCTCCTCCCCCCCCCAAAAAAAAAAAAAATTTGACCACCCTACGCCTATTATAATAATATATATTACTAATTAGGTAACAATGACGAATGTTGACTCCGATGTATCGATTTGCTCATTTATCATAATGTATTAGAGTTCTATTTAATTAATAATTAATACATAATACACAAATTTGTATTCATTTAAAAATAAGACTTCAATTTATTATTTTATACAATAACACTTACTTAGATAATAATCTTTTAACTAAAACCAAGTTACCTTCACATTTTTAATAATTCATAGATCAGAGTCAATTCTTCTTTCTTTTTTAACGAACTTTTCTATTATTTTATCGCAAAATTCAAAGCTCATTTTTAAACTTTTTAATACTTTTTAAAATTTTATATATACCTATTTTATTTTCTTATCTTTGTAAATACTTGTAATATTAGGGATTACCAAACAAGATACCTGTTTTAATAATTTCACTTTTTTTTTAGAAAAATGTTTTGAAATCAAGTCACTTATAAAGTTATAAGTTATAACACAATCAGTTTTTACGATAGCCATAATATTGTTTAAAATAATAAATTTATTATAGGTAGTACTAAAATACTAAACACTATTAAAAAATAGCACAAAATAACAAAACGAAGAAAAATTGTCATAATATTATACTCGTAGACGCCGTAAATTATATAAATGACGACATCGGACATTGACGAAGAATAACGAATGAAGTATGAACATGCCTTGGGTTGTTCGCACCGCCATAACAAGCGTCGTATAGCTTACGCACACCATAGACATATTATATGTCTATGACGCACACATCAGATGATCGATGATCGTATGCTCTGTTACGATAAAAATAAACACGAATAATTATAATAGAAGTATTAGAGAGAAATGATATATTTGTCATACATTATGTCTCTTTTAAAATATGTAACAAATTATTGATTACAAAATAATATTTGTATTTTTTATTTCCTAATTACATTTTTATTCCTAAGCATGATGAGCATGCCTGAATAATTCACCACTGCTAATTAACAACACAACTTGTGAAACTACAGTTGTGAATAAAAATTTATTTACAGTAAACTATATTATTATTTACTGTCATAGTGTCATACTCTGTAAAATACAATTTAATTTATCAGATTATTATCATGGTTTAAAGTTTGTCTAATGGTTTAATCTTTTAAATATTTTTAATTTCTTTATCTTTTCAAGGTGAATTTATAATTTTTAATGAGGCAAAATTTTTATAGTTAAAATCCGACGATGGCGAAAGTATCAGTGTTGAAGTTTCGTTCATCAAAGTTAAAACAGTACAAGGAAAATCGAGCTTTAATTATGTACCTAGGTACATCATGGAATATTAACGGAACTTTTTTAATGCCAATACCACCAAAAAGTTTTACCTTTCTTTTACTCCACCAATAAAAAAATACATCGACGTGTTGTAATTTACTTAAGTTGGAAACCTAATGCCATGATTTCGATTTAAAAATTATTTCTAAAAATATAATAGTTAGGCTGTTAATAAAAATGAATTATTTATAAATAATTATTGTAACATTCTAACATCTAATCTAATAACTTTCGAATAAGAAGTTTGAATTTTTCCGCCACCTGGAGCAATAATATTCTCTTTGCACCTTAGTCAATGCACTGTGTACTGTACTTATTTAATATTGGCTATTAATTAACAATACTACCTATCTCGTTCAATATTTGAAGTAAATAAATCAGTAAACCATAGTTGTAACTTGTAACATGCTCGTGCTTGACTATGGTTGTCGGTTGATATATTATTTAAATACTACGTTCGCTGTTCCAGAATTTATGGAATAATTGTAATAGCAATTTAAAGTAATTTATACGAAATTACGAAAAGTCTCTGTTTATAAGGTAAGTACTTTCAAGCTTAATAATATCATTGAAAATATTTACTTTAGTAAATGGGACTTATTAAATGTTATTAAGTCATTCTATGTTAATGTAAAAAAAAAAAAAAACTATTTCAAAATATAATAATGCTAAAATACCATCAGAAAATAAAATTAGTATGTACTTATTAAAATTAAATAATGACATAAAAATTTAGAACTACTCTCGGGGTGCTAATTTTGAATCTGGGCATACTAAACAATAAACAGTAAATACTAAATAGTAAGTACCTAATCAAGCACTTCTCTTCCATATTAATCCACACAACTATAAATAATAGTGCCTATGCCTCCCTTCCAGCAAACATCGTATACACAAATATTAATTGGCAAGCAAGTCGGATTGTCGTAGGTACACTAGATATATTATACAATAAGCTTATAATTACTATATTATTACTTTCTATAATAAAATTATAATCTATATTTTGAGGAGAATAGTAATTAAATTTGTTTAAAAATGTATTCCAAATAGCCATTAAAAAAAATCGCTTGCTTGAGCCTTGGGTCGTAACTTATTCGTATTATTCATACTAGGTACTCATTAATAAAAATAATTTACAGGTAGGGTACCTATTAATTATTAAGTAGATAGGTAATAGTTTTGTGTTATCTAAATCTAACTAAAGAAACAAAAATCTCTGTACAGTGTACACCTATCTAATAAATTTATTATGTGCATTTCGTTAATAATTTTGCTATATCTACTACCTTAGTTTCATAATGTAATATGACTTCATTTGATTTTTTGCGTTATAATTTAATTCATAAAATTATAACTTATACATTTATTGATATATTAAATACGATTTGAAAATGATAAACATAATCTTGCTCTAATTTACTTATCTGTCCCTGTAGCGCAGAGGATAGCGCGTTGGACTTCTAATCCAAAGGTCGTGGGTTCGATCCCCACCAGGGATGACGTAAATTGATATTTTTATACTTTAATTTAAATTTAACTTGTTTATTTAAATATACGTATTTTGATTTGTGATTAGAAATTATTTCGGTAATGACTTTGCTATCATTAAAAACTTTAAAAGTTTTATAAAAGAATTCGTTTAGGTCCTTGTTCTTATGTAAATTCACACATTTATTTAATTGTTTATTTTATTTATTAATTGACATAATTTGTTGTTTTAAAGTAATGATTAAACATTTAAAAGTAGGCACAACGTTTATTATAATAATTACTTATCTATAACTAGCATAACTAAATTACTAGCTGAATTACTCTGCTTCACCCGTGTGTAGTTTACTGTTTATGCTTTCTTAAAATGTTATTTAATTTTATCAAATGCTAAATAATAGTAATAGCTGAATTATAAATAAAAAAAAATATAATAATCACTCGTAGGTTTCTTCAAGGTGGATAATTCCCTAATTATAAGAAGTTTAGTGTTGTGCCAATAAATATGTTAACTAATACTAATCCTCAGTTTAGCTACAGACTACCTGAACATGTTGACAATGATGTTCTTCAAATGGCAGAGGAGCCCGACTACACTTGAGCAAAGTATTAGGTTAAAATTTTTGATGGGAACAAAATTTATGGTAAGAATAACTTATAAAAACTAATTTAATACCTAATTAGTTACTATTAATTCGTAAACGTTGTAAAAATCAACTCATAGAAAATGATTTGATTTATTTCACAGATTATTTTAGAAAAGTATGGCATCAGCAAGTTGAAGTTAAAAATTCTCTACAGAAACAAAAGTTGAAGAATATAAGACCTTAAAGCCTAAAAGAATTAAAAAGGTGCTTGCTTTGGAAAATAAGTGTTCATTTGATATCTGATGAAAGCAATAATTCTGATGGTAATTGTTTACATTTTCATTTCTTTTATCTATAAATGTTAATAATTTTAATTTAAATAATTGTATTTAGGTAATTTTTTTGAAGTAATGACTTCATCTACTAATTAACCTTTAGCTGTGCCTGTTCCAGTTACACCGATAGGTAAAATAGCTTTAACTAAACTTCATTAGTAAGCTATCAATACAGTTGATTTTTTAAATAATAATATATCATCTATTATTTTGTAAAATATATGTAAAATAAAATAAAATATTATATTAATATGTGATGAGTAGGGCTCGGATTTATATGTATTTTTGAAACCAAAATATATATTTATGTCACCAAAATATATACATAAATTTGTGCTAAAAAACTCAAAATATGTATTTTACTAATATGATTTATTTATTGATATTTAATCATTAATATACTCATATGAGTTACTAATGAAGCAAATTATATTTTGAATAGTAAAATTATTTAAAAAAATAATTAAAAAATATAAATAAAAAAGCTAAAAAAAAAATAAAAAATATTAATTATCTTGATTATAATTTATGATAACACGCATTTTTAAATTTTCAAATTCAAAGATTTTAGATTTGGTTGTACAACTTACACCGACTAAATAATCTTTTGACTTTTACCGATGTTATTGGACACTAATGCATTTATATTGTTATGGTCATTTTTTGATGTTTGATGTTTATAAATCATTTTAATACTTTTTAAGTGCATTTTCTAAATATTTTTAGGCCATCAAGTTCTGAGCCCTATAATATATATTTAATTGTTAATTTTATAAAGTATTTATTAAAAATATAATTTATAAGAGTTGTTATAATTATACGGAATGAAATTTAAAAAATATCTAAATTAATTTAAAGATATTATCTATCTATTTATACCATGCATTTATTCACTCTGTTTTATGATAAGATTTAATTAACTCAAAAGTTAATAATAAAGTCCTTGAAAAATTAAAAAAAAAGCTAATTTTTGGGGCTTTGCGAACTTCGCAAGAACAGGCCTTTTTTATGTTCCCATTTTGTAATGACAATATTTAACATTTTTCTAATTTTTTTTTCTAAAGTTTATATTGAACATCACTAGAAACATTTCAGTGCGCTTTCATTAACCGTTTTTTTATATTTACTTGCCAATCATGAGTGAAGATGTGACGGATCAGCTAGTATTGTATTATATAATTATATATAATATTATTTTTAGGTGTATGAACTTGACAATATAAGTGAATAACACTTACATAGTTTTATGTTATATAATATAATGAATAACATTTTAAAATTATCTTAATATAATTTTATAAACTCAACAAATAAGTTATTTAAAAATATAGCTTTTAGTATACCTAGTAATATATTATAATCTATGGTATAAGTTGATAATAAACAATGTAGTATGTACCTACCTAATGTAAAATATTATTTCTATAAATTATTTCATTAATCATTACTTTGCTCTAAATTTGTTTTTTTTTCAGTCAAAATCCAACATACCTCTATAAATGATTCCAACAATAAAACAGTTTTAATATCTGGAAACACTATTTTAATTGCTTTTGTGATTACTGCTTCTCGGTCAGTAACATTTTTAATCCTATGTTACCAAGTGCATCTAACAAAACAGTTTCAAAAAAGTTTTATGAACTTCATACTTTTTTGCATGGTGCATAATATATGCTAATGGTTAAGTGGTTTGTTTTCAAATAATGGATGTTTAAAAATTAGTATTAACAAATAAAAATCACTGATATTGAAAATGGTGTCATAACTCAAGACTAATTCAGATAAATGATTAATAGTTAACAGTTGTGAATAGCTATGTCATGTTTTCAGTCATCATACTCATCAAAACTACAACAAAGTTTAGAATAAGTTGCATGTTTTGAATAAAGTTTGACACTTCCTCATGTAATAAGTATAACCCAAATAGTTAAGTCTTAATTTGTTTAAGAATTTTAACAAAAAACAAAATTTATTTGAGATAAAATAGTTACATGGGTTATGATGTAAAACTATGAATACCTTAAATGGTAAAAAAATTAATGTGTCTTTTCGATAAACATTTTTTTTTTTTATTTGCTTGTAAAGAATCTTGTATCTAATATATTTTCAAATCATTGGTAGGTAAATAAAAAAAAAAATTGAATTTCTGACTACAATAATTGGTAGTAATTGGTTACTATAATATATTGGTCTAGTAATTAGTGTAGATAATTGCATATATTTCATTGATTTTATACACATATATTATGCATATTTCATATTTTTCTAAGAAATTGATTTTTTTCTTTCTTAGTTTGTATATTTCAATTTGCATTCTTATTTTTACAATACGTAGACAGTTAAGTTTTGTACCTCCTAGTGTATGTTTTCCAAATGTCATTTATTCTATAAGAAATGTAACAAATCTCACGTGACTAATTTAACTATTTTCCTTTGGAGTAGGTATCAATGTTGAAATAATTTTATAATTCATGGATAGAAAACAATTCAATACTTTAATATTTAATTAATTTTATAGATCCTAGATTTTTTGAAGGAAAGTATTATAATAAATTAATAAATATACAATTTATATTTTGTAATAATTTTTATTTTATTTAGGTACCTACTTACACTAATAAATGTAAAAATCATATTATTAGATTTTTGAGATTATAGTAGGCGTAAGCATCAATAATAAAATATTTATTAAATAATAATATAAAATATAATATAGTAGTGATGTTATTATGTCGTTCAAATAACTCGATTGCACAAACATGTTTTTGTTTTTGAATTTATTTTAAAAGTATTGTTTTTGTTGATATTTTATAACTAATATCACACACCAATAATATGGTTTTTATATTAAACTCGTATCAGTCCCTGTAGCGCAGAGGATAGCGCGTTGGACTTCTAATCCAAAGGTCGTGGGTTCGATCCCCACCAGGGATGCATTGGCCAACTACATTTTTTGCACTTTTTTCCTAATATTTATCTTTTAATGTTTTGTTTTATGAAACAATATGATGTTTATTGTTTATTTTGTTATTTTAGTATGAATAAAACGATTTATACAAAATCTTGTTTACAAAATACATAGATAGATTAATTTTTTTTTTTTATAAGAAATTGAGTTCAAATTTTGAAAACAAATTGCCAAAATCACATTTGCTAACTATTTTATAGTAACAAAACTATGAAATGTGCAATTTTTATAGCTTAGATTTGAATATTTAAATGAAGTTTCTTTATTAATATTTCATATCGTAACCAAAAAATTTTAATATTATATTAATATATATATATTTTTTTTTTTTTTTAGATATTTTAAATTCAAATGTAGACAAATCTAACATTTAACAGTAAAATAGAATACTAATGGTAATAAAAATATAAAATATCTATATCCTAGACTTACATATATTATGTAAAGAAATTTACATATTTTCTATAATTCTACAAATTGTTTACACTTATTGAACGATAACTAAATAGGACTTGTGAACTAAATGGAAGAAGACTTTTAGATTTATATTTATTACGTAATGTTTATGAAATAAATAATAAAGTAATTAACGAATTATCCAGTATTGTGCATTCAATAAACGGTAATCATTGTTACCCGATCTTATTATAAAGTGCAAATTAAAAAAAAAATACGTACTCCACAATTAAAATGTTATATATTAACATAGGTAGTGAAGTAATTTCGTTCATATCGATATATTTTTGTCTACTAAATTCAACATTGTACACATACATCTGAAAATAAATATAATTATTACGTATCCATTAATATTATAATACTATATAGTATATATACTATTGAAGCATATAGTTTTAACTTAAATAAGATTTTTAAAATTATTTCTTAAATTTTATTTACCTGTTTACTGTCGCTTTTATTTTAATAATCGTGTAATAGAAAAGAAATATATTTTTCACGTATCATTATATCTATTATACATCTAAAATTTCCCATGTCCTTTGTGAATACTAATGACAGCTAAGTAATGTGGATAATATAGGAAAGCGTAAAAGACACAAAAACACTTAGTGTCTGTTTGCAAAGTATTCTTAAAAAATAATTTACTGAAAATAAATATTTAAAATTAGAAGGAAGATATTTAAAATTAAAATTAAGTTTTGTAAAACAGAACTTCTACTAAAAAAAAACTAATAGTGCACTAAAAATGAAAAAATTAACAGATAAATAATTGAAGAACAAAAATAATATAAATCATGAGTTTGTGTTCAAATAACTTAACTGACTGATGATAAACATTAGGTTTAAATATTATAGTGATATATTTATTATTTTAATTAGCCAGCACAGTGTTATGATTATTGATTAAACTGATCATTAATTTTTAGCCAACATGCTTACAATATTATAATATGACTATTGAGTATGGTCCGAATACCTATATAATAAAAATGATATGTTACATAATATGGTACCGCGAAAAAATAACCCCGGAAAAAATAACTCCGGAAATTTAGACCCCGAAAAAAAGAACCCCGAAAAAATAACCACGGAAAAAAAACCCGTTATATCAGTTAAGATTATATGATCGAGTCTTATTTCATTATTGTTCAAAAAATATAGATAATATTTACTATCTACACTCTACAGTAATTTATATTTATTATATTATTATGGCAGTGCTACTACGTAGATTAGATTATATTGATTATAAAATTTGTCAAGTCCTGTGTGTGTTCATTTCTCAGTATTCGGTACTACAGATGGCTTTCGTATATTATATATTTCTCTGTGCTTTGTTTTGAATAGTATTATACTGTTATGGATATTCTAGATATTTTTGAGAGCCAGAAGGGCAAAGAAAAGTTGACATTCAAAAAGTATATGTATGTTGTACACAAAGAGTGTATAAATTTCATAAGGTGGAAATGTTGCAAAAAAAAATAGCCACAAGTGTCCGTGTATTTTAAAAACTTCTCTAGATAAAAAACGTTTAATTAAAATTGATCATGAACATAACCATTTGTCGTGTCAAAATGAAATTGATGCCGCAAAAATTCAAATTCAAATTAAAAAACGGGCCAAAATGACAAAGTCTACGCCAGCACAGTTGTTTTCAGAAGCTATGACGGGTCTTTCGCTCTTTCGGAAAGTATACTTGAAGAACTTCCGAAAGAAAAATCTGTAAAATAAACAATTCAAAATCAAAGGACTTAGAGTTTTTCAATAGTACCTGAAAATCTAACAGATTTAAAAATAGAAGGTATGTACTTTGAACGGTTAAGCTCGAAAAATGTTTCAAGTTTAACCGTTCGACGTTTTCCAGCAATATTTCCTCCTGAAACTTGAAATGTTCACCAAACAACTAGGGAAAATAATCAACGTACCAATAATGTTTGCGAGTCATGGAACAATATAGATTTAATCATTTAGTCGGAGTAAAACATCCATCGATTTGGACATTGATTAATAAAATAAAAAATGAAATGTCGGCTGACCGTGCAAAACTTGCTTTGCAAAATGTAGGAGAGTCCAAAACTAAATGTTCTAAATCAAAAACCGCTCAAAAGAGATTAAAAACCTTGTGTGAACGGTTAAATTCAAACGAAATTGAAGTAGACATGTTTTTGAAAAAAATATCCTTTAATTTAAGAAAACGATTATAAAATAGATATTAATATTATATATATTTTTTAAATATTATTATTTACCGTGACTGAAAATTTTGACTAAATATTTGTTTTAAATTATTATTATATTATATTGTGTTATACATTTATGGTGAATATTTTTTATTTATTATATATATTATTATAGGGTTATTTTTTCCGTGGTTATTTTTTCACAGGGTTATTTTTTATGGGTTTTTTTTCGGGGTTATTTTTTCTGGGGATATTTATTAGGCAAATCGTTACATGTTGCGTTATTAAAGTGCAGTACAATGCCAAAACATAGATTATACACCAGAGATGTACAATGAAGCATTGGTCTTGATCGAGGATTTATGTGTTCTTATTTCAAATTTACCACTTAATCATTATGGTATGCCATCACCTAATCGTCCAGCCACCGACTTAGTCAATACCGATTTACAACGAGAAAATCAATATGACCATGGAAGTTTAGCAACAATTATCATGAACAGTGAACCATTACTGACAGCAGAACTAAAAATTATTTATGATCGGATTATGCTGGCTGTTGCTGCTGAACAAGGCGGTTTTTTTTTCTTGGATGCACCCGGTGGAACCGGTAAGACATTTTTAATATCGTTGATTCTTGCCAAAATACGGTCGCAACAAAAAATCGCATTAGCAGTAGCATCGTCAGGCATTGCCACACTTTTTCAATAATTGTACAAACATTTTTATATTATTTTTATTTAACCTCCATTGAAAATTATTTTTCAAACAATGTCCATTTGTGGTTTAGATTTGGAAAATCCATGTTTTTCTCATGGGCAACTATATGTTGCGTGTTTACGTGTTGGGAAACCGTCGAATCTATTTGTGTTAGCTAAAGACAGGTTAACCAAAAACATTGTGCACCGGTTGGTGTTAAATTAAATTGAAATTGAAAGTATTTATAATTCAAAAAAATAGATATTAATGTTTAAAAGTTTAAGACTGTCTGCCTTGCCTATCTCATTCATGAGTTTAAGCGTCACATTTTATTTACTGTATTATACTGTAATATACTTATATTTTTATAAAATTAAATGGAAATAATAAATCTGATAAATTTTTATTTTGTACCTATTGATTTCTGCTTAATATCAAGTGTAAGAACATTTTAATTAATTGTGTTCAACGTACTTCCCCTTCAAATCTCAATCCAGTGAATTTGTATACCAACATCAACATTTTCGTCTTAGTTAGTAAATAATTTCATTGTACTTAAGGGTTATAGTAGTAGAAAGTCAAATAAGGAGATCACCATATTTTTTTACAAATACCATCTGTGTGAAAAAGCATAGTGGACTCCGTGACTGATGTTCTCTTATTGTTCCTCTTAATGTAATATAACAAAAACTTTAGCCACAGCAACGCGTGGCCGGGTCAGCTAGTTTATTTACATAATTAATTAACATTAATTCGGACAAAGAGAATACATAAAATTATACAAATTAACTACAGGAAAAGGCAGTTATTATAGAATAATAAAATTATTTTTGCAAAGTAGTTATTTATTCAAAACCTAGACACAAACAGTGAAGATTTAATTTGTTACCAAAATAAAAGTTAAAAGTGAGTTCGTTGGGTTTCATTAATAAACAACTTGAATGTTCATTTAAGCAATATGATTACAATTAATGGAAAAGTATATAAAAAATGGTAGAACTAGTAATAAAAACAGAAACATGCCAGTTTATTTTTAAAATATTTCGGAACTATTTTTTTAACTATTTAATAATTTACGAAAAAAAGATATATCATTGAATATTCGTTTAGATGTACTCAAGAATGTGCATATCAAGTTCGATTCTTAAGTTTTAATTTTTAATTATATAATTATTAATTAGTATTATATTGAAACATCATTATAGCCATTTATAAGTGTACGGTGTATTGGTGGGGTAAATAATCAAATATATGGGGATGAAATATGAATAAATATTTATTTTGATTATTATCATCGTAGTTAGACTTCTGAGAATACCCGTGTATTGCAGCCAATAGGTAGGTGCCGGTTATACGACAACGTCACAATGGCACAGATAATGGATTACATACACATATGAACATATATACAGTACTCATATAATGACACCATTCAAACATGCATGTAATATGAACTGCTTAAACATTACTCCTTAAAACATGCTATGCTCCAACCCCTTTAGTGTTAAGTTTTTCTTTAACGCATATACAATTACGTCAAATGTTTTTTAATGGTCTTAAATTAAGAGAAGGCTATTTACATAGTACATATTATCAATAAAAAATAATTAGTATGCTGTGTGTGATATATGTATAGTCAAGAAATTAATTTATTAACTAAACAACAATATTTTGTAATAAAAAAATAATACGTATAAACTTTTCAAGATTTACACAATTTGTACTATTTGGCACAATAGTATGTGATGACAGGAAAAAAAGAATTATCGAATATTAGAAATAATAAACCACCCATTAATGACACTTGACTGGGAGTTGTTTGGTTATCTATATTATATAATTAATAATTATATATCTATCTATTACAGATAATCATGTATAATATATTGTATAAATAATTATATATTTAATTTTAATAGTTAATTTTCTAAAAAGTTATGGTAAAAGTTCTTTTTAAGACAATGTCTAAGAACACCAGATAATGTAAGAGTGGATAGGTTTTTTATGAGTGAATTTTAGTGTGTTTGGAGACGGGTATAAAAGTTTTTGTAGAAACGTGCAGCTTCTTTAGTCACAGTTTTCATTGAGAGGTAGTTATGTAAAGTGTAATTAGATACATTGAGTAAGCCGTTTGTATTTGAAAGCGATCAGAGCAATACAAATTTCACCCCCAACTAATTCAATTAAGGCTTCACGCGTTTTCGAAAATTCAATTACGCCTTTTACAAAAATCAGCGATGGTGGTTTAATTTAATTGGTGATATTAGATGTTTCTAGAGTAAAGTTTGATTTTGGATTAGAGCCCGCAGTGTAATTTCCTAAGCACTTCGTAGCGATTAGCCGTTAAAAATAATTTTTTATTATTTTTTATACTTGATATACTTGAAGTAGGATCAGTAGAATTTGTATTATTGTACATGTTATCATATACAAGTGTAGAACTTAAATCTGAAGGTTTCATCATAGAAATGTTTGCATTGTTTTTAATTAGAGAAGCTGTCTGTATAATAGTGTTGTCAATTTTAATTTTATTTACAACTTGTTTACTTTTTACTTTTGGTGATATCTATGTGTTGGAAGACCGCAGCATGTTAAATAACTGAGCAAAGATCGCGTATTGCCGCACTGGTCTTCGTTGCAACTATAGCGCTACGGTTATCGAGTAAACGATAGTCAGCAATTCTGTGATACGCATGCCATGACGTCAGCGGGCAGGAACATTTATAACAGTTGTAACTAGTTTCAAGATTTGGCCGATAAAAATCCTTGCCGGCTAATGTCATATTACCATATAATAAATGAAAATGTATTTATTATTCCATGAATGCGCTTTTTAGAACGGGTTTTAGTATTATTGCTGACATACCTGAATATTTAGCCATGCGATATACGTTATTGATTTTACGCACAATGATTTATTTATATTTGAAAGACAAAAGAACGTATGAGGCAGACTTCTAGTTTTATAATTTATATGTATAATTAAAAAAGATAGACAATTGTAATTTTTTACGTACTAATTACGACGCATTTGGATACGAAAGAGGACGGTATCATATAATTAAGATGAGTGTAATAGTTACGTATGCGGCGACTTATGTGTAATACGCGACAAAAAAATGTTAATGAATTTTAAATTGCGTATTAGTTAATATTGTATGATATACGTAAATATATATATTATTATAATAATTAAATACTAATAATATAAAAAATTCAATAATTTCGTATGACATATCAATCCACCATAATACCAAAAGTAAAATAAATGATTTAATAACTATATCAAAAAAATATATCATGAAATATATTAAATGATATAGCCATATAGTTTGACAAATCATCACCGTTCAAAATTGTTTTTTTTGTAAACAATGATGTTGGATCCATAATCTGTCTCACGAAGCAATAAAAGAAAAATACTGTTTCGCGCACATAAACTGAGCTACAAACACCAGTGTTGACCGAATTATGTGGTGGGAGTATTAGGCGCGAAGTAGTGTATGAATGCGCAAGAATATCGGGTTTTGTCAAAACGCAGTACCTTTCTTTCACGAGACAAATTATTTAGTGGAGGCAAGTGAGTATCCTCGTTTTTTATTTTTGTATAATAAAGGTGGTCAATTTCAAAGACGTTTTTGTTGTTGATATCAGACTCAAAATCGACGAAGAAGAGCGGGAGAAATTGTTTGGTATTTCGTTAGAGAATAATATTTATAACGTTTAGAGGACGTGTGTGGCGTGTCCTAGAGTTAAGAGTTCTTTTGAGTTATTTTTTTATTTCAGTAATTGGGGATAATTATGAAGATAACTATTCTAAAAACATTATTTTATTTTAATTGGTATGTATGAAAAGCAGTTTCATTATTTTAGAGACATTATTAATGAAACGATAAGAATCACGTGAAGTAGTAGAAAGTTTGATGCCGTTGATAGAACGTTTACATAAAAATGGTTTCATTTTTGTAAGCTGCTTAAACATGTTCATAGAAAACTTTTGTAACGATATACAGGTTACTGACGCGTCATTTATGTCACACTATGCGATTTTGCTTAAGTAAGAAGAACATAGAGTATGAGAATATTAATCATTGATTTAGCCGACAGTCGAGTTCAGGTCGTTAAGTAGAGAAAACAGTCATATCTATATTTTTAAGTAACATTTTTAAATTTGATTTACTGTAGGTATAATAACCTACTTTATAGATAAATCATAATATTTCAATCATTACTTCAACTTGTACTCCGCTACTCCCGTGGTCTTTGATAAACTACCCTTAATAACAGGGTTACTCAGGTGATATTTTATTGTATAATGTTATTAATATTTAATCATATAATAAACCTTGTATACGTTACTATATTGTTTCTATTGTGTTAGTCTACAGACTATGACCTTAGTCTATGACCTTGCAGGTCATTCGTTTTTAGGACTTGTAAAATATACAATTTAGAAACTCTATTTGTATCGACTCAACAATTCGGTTCTCAAGATTGGTTCGTGTAGTGGGAATTACTAATCAACTACTCCTTAACTGGATAGAATTAGATATAAATATTGACAGCCACTTGATTTGAATAAACGGGTAGGTGTGTTGCAATTTGTAATCGTTAACAATACGAATAAAAATAGATGGTGGAGGTTTAATATGTGTGGAGGAGTTCTTGTGTACTCAGATTCTTTATCGATTTTTCGGATTCTATAATGTTTTCGTATAGAATCGATGGACCCGCAAATAGAGTGAAACGATTTTGCGAAACAAAAAATTTTGTGTTCAGTTGGTATTTTGAGTTTAAATGGCGATAGAAGGAGATGTGTTTGGACATTCTTAGGGTCAATAATTCGAATATTATTGGGATTTGAGTTCGAAGTTTGGGTTGGTAAACGATTTGGTACGGTCTGTGTACATGAGTTAAGAATAATTAGTGGAGGTAAGACAGATTTAGATTTATGTGAGGAACATATTGGGTTAATATATAATACGTTATGTTAACGTATGGTCAATAAAACA